TATCTTTATTTATATTATTTTACTTTTACTGTTTATTTTTTTGTTTTGTTTTGGGTATTTTTTGGTGGGGGGGGGTGTGTTATGGTATCGCATAATTTGTATTTGAGATTGTTAAATACATAGTTACTTAGGGGGTAGATATCTAAGTAGGTACACACTAGTTAGCTAAATACTAGTTACCTAGTAGGTAGATATCTAGATACATGATTTTATTAAGTAGGTATTCTATTGGAGGGATCTTTAAGGGTATCACCAGATTTGGTGGAGGAGGGCTTTTACTTTTGTTTTTGTTTTTGAACTTATAGTTGGAATTGGAAGATTGGATTGATTAATTGGTGGATTTTGATTAGTAAGAATTAAAGCTATAGGTTACCTAATGAATCCATTCGGGAAACCCGAAAATTTTAACTAGGTACTGGAAAATAGGCTATTGAAATATCACAATGTCGCTTCAATAGCCTTTTTGATTTGTTTTAACTAGGTATTCGGTATTAAGTTTATGCATTTCTTTGGTATATATATATTGTATTGTTGGTTTATTAGGCTACTGATGATACCCGAGCTAGAAGTTTAGAAGGAAGTGTAGGGGGAAAAATTGAGTGCGGGAATGCGGGAATGCGGGAATGCGGGAATGTACGGGCAAGAGTAAGCATATTGCATATTGCATTTTGGGTAGTACTTTTCTTGGCAGTTGGACTCTAAGTATATGCCTTTTGTGAGACCTTTTTGTGAGGTTTAGCGGGGTAGGTGAGAGATTATTGGTTTGGGTTATTGAGGAATGGCTTGAGGTCTGAGGTTGTGTGTGTCATGATCTAGATGAATCGCCCAGGAAGTACAGTCAGGAGATTTTGAGGCGGGGGAAGTTGAGATACTCAAATTCTTGAGTATAAAGAGGGGAGATTTCAATGAGGGGTTCGAGATTTGTTTTCAGTAATTGGTAACTGGCAACTTGAGGTTCTTTGTTACTAAATACGATCTTGAGATCTTATAAATTTTATTTCATTACGCGTACATTTCAGAAACATAAAACGGAATATATATCTATCTTTCTGTATCTTCTCTATATACAAAATACTTATAACCAACAACTAAATCAATCAAAATAAAACCCAACTCAACACAATATCTACCTCAAAAATGGCTACCCCAGATCTTCCAAAAACCATCAAATCCCTCATCCAACCCGACATCCACAGTCCCAAACTAATCCTCACCGAAATCCCTCTTCCTCTCCCCACCCCAGGAACAACCGAACATCTCATCCGCGTCCAAAGCACCTCTCCCTGCTCAGGCGAACTAACCTGGAGCGCCTCCATCGCCCAATACGCCGCCATTTCCCCAGAATACTCCAAATACTCCTCCGCACCCAACCGCTTACAAGTCCCCTGCTACGATCTCTCCGGCACCGTGATCCTCGCACCAGACAACTCACCATTTCCCGCAGGCACAGAAATCTACACTCGAACTTCATTCGCGAGGCCCGGAAACGCGAGGGAATATACAATTGCGTTGCAAGAGGAGCTTGCGCGGAAACCGAAAAGTTTATCCTGGGATGAAGCGGCTGCTATTCCGCTAAGTGCGTTTACGGCGTGGCAGGCGCTGTTTGTGCATGGGGGGGTTAGGTGTGTGTATGCTGATGATGTGAAGGTGGAGAATGGGGATCGGGTGATTGTTGTGGGGGCGGCGAGTGGAGGGGTGGGTGTGCTGTGTGTGCAGTTTGCGAGGGCGGCGGGGGTGGGTCATATTGTGGGGGTTTGTTCGGGGGGGAATAGGGAGTTAGTTAGAGGGTTGGGGGCGGATGAGGTGGTGGATTATAGGAAGGAGGGGTTAGGGGAGTGGGCGAAGAGGAGGGGGTTGAAGGTTGATTTGGTGGTGGATATGGTTGGAGGGAAGAGTTTGGAGGAGGCGTGGAGGATTTTGGGGAAAGGGGGGAGGGTGGTTAGTGTTAAGGAAGATCCGGGGGTTAGGAGACCGGAAGACGGGGTTGCGGAGGGGGTGGAGGGGAAGTTTTTTGTTATGGAGCCCGAGGGGTGGCAGTTGGAGGAGACGGCGAAGTTGATTGAGAAGGGCTTGGTTAGGGCCGTGGTGGATAGTGTTTGGTCGCTGGAAGAGTTTCAGAAGGCTTTTGATGTGGTTGAGGGGGGACATGCGAAAGGGAAGGTGATTATTAAGGTCAGGGAGTAGTGTGTTGAATTGTTGGTGGTTGTGGGATTATGAGTGTTTAGTGTTTAGTGGATGATTGGGGTTTTGTTGGTTGTAGCTAGGAGAGTTAATTGGGATGTAATGATGAAGTAGCAAATACTGCAGTTATACAAACCAAATAATTTGAATTCGAAGCTATAACTAGTGCCTGCACTAAGGAATATATAAATACCAAAGGAATTAGATGTGAAGATGCCTGATTCTCATTTTAGAAATTGGGATCTGATGGCTAGCTATTGTGAGGTGGTGAAATTTGAAAGGGTACTGCCATATTTATGCGCCTCAGTGTCTATAAGGTACTGACTGGATGGGAAGAGCAGAAGAGATGGGAGTGTGGGTGAAGCGGAGAGGATAGGAAGAGGAACAGGGACAGGAAGATGAAGAGCTTTATGGTTATGGGATATGAGGTTTGGAAGAGATGGAGATGGAGAGGGAAGTTATGTATATGTCTATAGATCTATAGGTATTAGTGGGAAGAAAGGCATTGGGGAATAGAGCAAAAGGGGATGATGCATTAGAAAGGAATAGATTTAATGCACATGTACATTTCAAAATCGACTATTAAAACGATACTTAAGATATCTATGTAAAAATCATCGACCATAGGAAATGCATTGTTTTGGAGTTTAATCCACTTTATTTAATCTTATTACGCTATAATAAGTAGGTTATACAAACCCTCTCGGTTGTAATTCTAACTCCTAACTTCATACCCTCGTATTACTGGGTTTTTTTTTAAAAAAGAATTCGAAATTCGAAAAAGAGAAATGCGAATATGAAGAGATTAGATATACCGAGTAAATACTAAAATTCGATGCATTCATGGCATCCGAACATATTAAGATCTCCTTGTAGGATCACTGCTGACTTCTGACTTCTTTCACCAGGGGGAGGGGGGCTCATAAAATAGAAAATAGCTTTGCGCAGATATAACGGCAAGGCCTTGAAATTCTTGCCAAAAGGCGAGCAGAAATTAAAAAGCATTTGTTGATATGTTATGTACTGCTTGCTGCTTATGAGCGAGCGAAACCCTCGATTCATATATACTCCAGCAAGTCTCACACAAAATTCAAATATTGAGATACGCAAAAATGGATGAAACTATTCGGAGCATGAGGTTACATCTTATGACATACTGACTTGGGATTTACTTTCTGATGTATTATTAAGGAAATGCTTCATTGCAATTACTTGATACATATAGATATTTTCATGATGTGAAAAGATGAGCTGGATAATTTTAGTGTGCTAATTTTTTTGTGCATGATTTGATGGTGAGGTTTTGTGTTTCTTAGTTCTAGGGAGATTTTTATATGGCTATGAGTTGAGAGTGGGTAAAGGATATATGTATTCGATATAGCAAAAGTACGGAGTATGCATATTGCTATGACTAGATGAACCGAGGTAATCCCACTGCTTTTATGAAACTTATCTTACAAATGAGTTATTTTCTGAGTATAAAACTTGTACAGCAGAGCGAAAGAAATATACTATTCCCTCTCTAGACTTGTTAGAGACTTATTTTCACCATATCGGATTCCTCTGGCGGGTATTGAGACGGCTCCGCAGAGATGATCTAGTAAGCAATACTCCATAGATGGAATTGCTCCTTAGATCTTTCCAAATAGCGCGACTGGGAAGCAATAATCAGTATTTAAAACCCCATTTAGAAAGAACCCCATTGCTGAGATAATAGCACAGTTCCAGCAACATACTATTGAGTCTTTAATTCTGACCACTTGTTGGAACAACACGTTATTGCATTTGGATGATTACTGTATGGAAAACTACGGAAAAACAGTTGATACTGAAAAATATGAATGGAAAACAACGCAGGAAAGGCGAAGAGAGTGCCATACCACAATGCGAACCTCGCTTTCTCGTCGAAATGATGATAGGCCTTATACGCACCATGGAGCAATCTCCACATACACCACGGAAACTCAGTTCTCTATCTTCTTCCGATGCGTCGGAATAAGAAGGTCCATAGGATATTGGATTGGACGGAGTGGTTGAGCAAAACATGTGTGTAAGTATATGTACCCACGCTGGATACCAATCATAATGAACAACCATATCTTGCCCTCCCGAATGCGAGAACCTTTTATCAAAGTCTTTATGCTTTATGAATCCTATAATACCTACTAAGATGTCAGAATATCAAACGGAATTCCGGGAATTTATAGCGCAGTAAGAGGATCCAAGTACAATAGTTGAGTTTTTAGATTTTCGCCTGCGCTCTGTCTAGGAATTTGATGCATGCGATGAACAGAGGAAATCTGAGATGATGAAAAAGATACATGAAGCATTTATGAAACTAATTCAAAGGATGCAGAATTTAGATCAATGGCGACACGATAAACTCTGTAACAAAGTGGTAGAAAACTTCAGTTATTCGGGATATGTCCCAGGCAACGCTCGAGTTTTCAAATGCAGATTTTATATCAGTACTATTTACCCTAAAATAAATCTTTTAAGGGGAGTATCAAACTTTTGATGGGATACACATCGTGGCATCAAACCCAATTTCGTTGCCAGTGCGGAATGAAAGGGAAATTCTTTTTCCTGAGACTATGTACGAGAAACACTTGTGGAAATCTGCTGGTAGAATCTCACTAGCAACCAAGAAAGTATATTGTAAGTATGCAAATTTGCTAGGAAATACCATACTTCGAAAATTAGTGTCGAGATTAGACACCGAGGTTTTCAGTCACTGGTGAGAGTAGGTAAACCTCATTTGGATAGTGAGTAGCCATGCTTGACATGGGATATAAGGTTTGGACAGCCAAAAGCTCTACCTGTAGGTACTGAGATGGTAATACTAAAGTATAGATGGATGCACGATTAGATTTTGCGATATAATCAATCATACCGACAGCTACTCTTCCAAATGGATAGAATAGCTTCGAACAATTAAACCACAATCCAGACCATGTGAATCCTCGTCATACGATCAAATCAGCCAAGGTTAAAAGCTGAGGTGATGTTGTACAAAACTTCTTGTAAACTATCACCTGACGAATAAGCTCTCTGAATAACGTTTGATTTCATGCAGTCATCTGCACTCCGCCATTTTCCGTGGGCTTAGGCTGAAGTGTCACATATGAAGGTGATTCGCATCGTACGATCGTGTGAAATTTCCAAGGCATAATCTTAATAGTCAGCTGATATCATTTTCTTTTTTTCTTTTTAAAAAAAAAGAAACATCATCCGGAAGTTCACTTGCTACCTGTCGACATCTGAGTCAATTCTTATATCGTTTGAGATGAATCGAAAAAGAAAATAAATCTTCATGTTTGTGTTCATAGTTGAATGTGGCGATACGTTTGAGTCAACTGATCACTTATCTTGAATCATCGGAAACTCAGTCCTTTGGTGGCTCTCACACTATCCAGACAGCACACCGAGTAGTGTGATATCTCAACAGTATTAACACAGTCGACCTACTAGAATAATCACCATAACCATATCATACAAAAATGGACGCTATCATCAAAACTTTCGCTCCACTCGCAATAAAAGAAGTTACAGCATATCTCTCGAAGAGATCGACTTCTCCAACGACTGAATTAGCCAAGGCTGCTGCTGAAGGAAACACCAATGTAGTCAAAAGTATTCTATCCCAAGATCATCAAATAGATCTGGCACCAGCACTCGTCGCGGCTTCTAGCGCGGGGAAAATGGAGGTTCTTGATATTCTCATAGATCCTCCACGTCTTTCACGATCAGGGAATTCCCGGCACAAGGAAAAAATAGAGCGAACTGACGTGAATGTGTGGTCGCAACATATTACACCTCTAATAGCTGCGGTACAAACACACCATGTGAAAACGACAGAATTATTATTGGATGCTGGAGCCGACACTTCGATTGCACCAGAAGGTGGGGAAACTGTTCTTCATATTGCAGCTAGAATGGGAGATTTAGAGATGGTGAAACTATTAGTAGAATTTGAAGCGGATTTGGAGGCCAGAGAAGGTTGGGGTAATACACCATTGCTCTCTGCATCTAGATGGGGTCACCCTCACACCATCAAATTTTTGCTAGGAAAAGGAGCAGATATCGAAGCCACAGATGTGAAGGGTTCAACGGCATTGCTGTTGGCGTGCAGACATGATTGTGTTGAGGCCGTGAGGGTTCTGATAAATAGTGGTGCAAACGTGAGAGTTCGAGATAAAAAAGGAAGAAGTGCATTGCATCGAGCCATCGCTGGAGTTGACTTCATTGAGGGAATAAATGCCAAGGTGAAGGAAGACATGGTAAGAATGTTGATAAATGCAGGTGCAGATCCAAGGGTTAGAGATAACGAAGGAAAACGACCTGGTGATTTGGTGGGGTTTTTGAGAGGTGGAGAACGAGTGAAACGTTTGTTGAGACCTGGAAGCGCACCACATTCAAGAGAAAGGACACCAGCGCACAGCAGACATGGGAGCCGAACAGGATCACCTTATGTTAATGGGTCTCGAAATTCTCACGACATTAGTCGCGGTGCTAGGAGAGATCGAAATCCGTCGCCTTTGGTCGGGGATATGATGGATGGCTATGATCGGGATTAACATTTGGTATGGAGAGAGGTGTTCCAAGACTGATTTTTCAAAACTTCTTAGGATGAATGCAAGATAATTACGAGTGGGTATCCTGATTTTTTGAAAGCATCGTAGGGTTGCAATTTGAGATAACTGTTATTCCACAAATTCAGCTGGCTGTTACAGAATTCAACTCCATGAAGAAAGCTGAAGTTGCTGAAGACAATAACAAGGACGATGCGAGAACATAGAAACTTGTGTATAATATGTGATAGAAACTGTGTTGGTGGAAATGAAGCATAGTGGAAACGTACGAATGCTTATTTATTATCTGCATAAGCATCAACATGTTGATGTGAAAACTACATACCATCGAAGTTGTTAAGGTTTAGCCATCTAACAGGGCTCCTTTTGAAGACTCCCTAAATGGAACCAATAACAGGCAGCATCAAAGCTGATATCTCCTGTATAGTCTACAACCTGAGACTCGAGAAAGTGCCTAACTCTCAATGCCCCATGCGTCTCATTTGTTTCTCAACAATCATACGGGACTTCCCATTTGTAAAGACCTCAAAATCCACACATCTTAGTTTACCCAATGGGCTTCCCAACTCATCCATTGTTACACCGAATTGATCCTTGAATTTCCGCCGTGGCGAGCCACTAACTTCTAGTTCAGAAATGGGAGGTTGAACAATCAACATACGTCTCTAAGTAGCCTCTTTTCTTCTGACTGCCTCATTTGCAGGTTTGACTTCTAATCTGAAACCTTGATGATACTCTATAGCTGGCCATTTGCTCCAATCTGCCATTCTACGACCGCGCGGATTATGCAGATATCTGCATTGTTTATGAGTTGATCGTAGGTCTAGGAACTGCGCGTTGTGACAAGGCTGGAGGAGAGGATTAGGCCGTGGAAATGATGTAGCTGGCGATGCACGGAAGAACAAAGTTTGTTGAAGTAAGTTTGAGGAGTCTATAACGTTGTAAAAGCTCTGACTGATCATTTGAGCTCGAACAAGATCGAGGAATGGTAGTTGAAGGAGGATAAGTTCTAGAAGCTCAGGGATGGCAAGGACGGTTTGAACTGAGCTCTTCATGGAACATATTACAGAGGCTATGGCTGGCACAGGAACCATTGAAGGCATTTTGAACAATGTGTGGGTAGCATACTCATCCGAAACATTACTTACCTACGTTCCTATAGTTTGATTGCTTGGTTATTTGTTGGTACTAGTAGAGGATGGTCACAAAAAAAGGTGTGAAGCCATGACCGCGACCTCGCTAGCGCTAACAATAAATCACAGCCACATCAAGCCACTTCCATGAAATCCTACAACTTCAAAGCGATCCAAGGTTTCGAATTTCATTCCCACTTCATGTGTTTGTTTCTCGCTCAAATCACTTGACCAATCTACGGATCTCAGATCGTCTCATCTCTCAAGGAAATTGTCGCCTTGAGTCTGAGACATTGGTAGAAAGACATCCCAACATACGGAGAATACCACAACCTGCTGGTCAGAATGTCCTATGAGGACAAGCCTTGCCAAGTTGCGATCCCAAGTGTTGTAGTGGAGATCCCAATTGTTGAAATCATCAAAGATCTGATGACATACCAACATCGAATTTGAGATGCAAAACCGGAGAGCTTATAAATGACTAGGGCGAAAACTTCATACGACAATGACATTTGAACCAAGTCGATGTCAAAGGTACGCTAGACCGCTTTAATTTAGATATTAAGACTGGCTTATTTGAAATTATTATCATGAACTTTGAGTCTGAGTTGGCTGGAGACCGTGTGCCTCATGCTCCACACAGTTCCATCTGATATCCTACCTCACATTTTCTCATTCCGTTTTTACCCTACTCTTTTTTTTTTGAACTTCATCATGAACCTTCACCCAATTTCTTATGCATTTTTCATCTTCTTCAATCTTCATCATTTATATGGAATACTGAAAAGTTCAAAGTAGACCTATTTCGATCAGTGATCATGATGAGTGTTTGAGAGACTCTACTCGAACTATGAGTGCTTTATTGTTCCTCAATCACTCCAATAGGAATCTTCGAAGTTGATTCGTAATTCCGATTCGAACCTCAGAAACCCCAATGTAAAGCCGCCTTCCAGCTCCAAGGCAGCAGGCACAAGTAAGGCCAGGCTTTCCAATACCTGCCAAACAGGGAAAACATTTGGGTATACCTTTGACAGCAACGTCGTCGATTACTCAATAATCAGTTAACCCCAAGATATCATAGCACTGCCAGAATGAATAGATGGCCCTAACTTCGCTTACTTTGAATTCTACGAACAAAGTCTCACTACTAACTCTTCCAAAAAGAGAAGCCTCGCGGTCAATATCCCGACGACGGTGGCTTTTAAAGGTGTTTTCTTGACAGTGAATGACCACAACTCTTGATAGTTATGTACGAATGATAATGATTCCGTTGTCGAGACAGACTGCCAGTCTGTTGTTTCGTTGGTTTGACCAGATGCTTGTTCGAGTCAAAATTCACCCGCAATTCGATTGAATAGTTAGCATTTTGAAACATTGATACCTAGGAAACCACCAAACAGATATGATATCAACAGAGGTCTTTAAGTTGAGCTGAACACGAATCTTGGTCATTCTTGAACGCGAAATCGAATTGAAGCTCACTCACCTTCGGATGATATTCGGTACATTGAATCTCCACGATCCTAGAAACGAAATGGTCTTTTGCAGAAGTTTGGGGACTATTACGTAGCTTGTTCGGCTGCATGAAGATAATTGGGAATGCAATCCGCTTCCTGAGTTTCTTTTCAGCTATTATTACTCTATTGATCGACGGGAATGCTATTTTGCCACCCAGCTACTAGGCTTCTAGAATTTACATGGATGCTCGTCTAGGATGGACGTCATGAACTCACCGTTCCCACCAAGAGTTCATGCGTGCATGATGTTCTGCGACGCATCTTGCATCTCAAAAGTCAGAAATATAGGTATTGCTGAATCAAAAACATGTTTCCAACCAGTCACCGGAGGGCCGGGTCCGTACCACTTGTAATCTCAGATATAGAGTCAAGTCGTCGTCCACTACACAAATTCCCAAGCTGATGACTTCTCCAATCTCTGAGTCAGTTCGCAGCAGATGTAGTGGAAATATACATATGAGCCTCATAAACTCCATGCGGGCTTGATGTGCTTGCATGTTGACCTTCTCCCTGAAGATGCATTCATTTCTCCACAGAATTGGGAATCCAAACCTTAAATCGTTTCCCTCGTGAGGAAGCATGTGGTAGAACCCGACATTCCCTTTAAACCAAGGCAGACCCATCCTATTATCGAATATAAGAGGCTGGTGGTATGTATGTATGTACACATGTGGGGTTAGTGGGTAGATGTTCGCCGTACGTTCATGCCCATGACTACTTGTGCATATAATGTCGGAAGGAATACCTTTGAAGGAAATGAGTCCAAGGAAAACCGGAAGGTGTAATCATTAGCTTGCTTGTAAGCAATAATACGAAGTATATATACAACCAAACCGAGCTCAATCAGTGTTTGCCTTTCTTTCACTTGTATGATCTTTACCTGTTTGCCGTTTCTTGCCACAAATTTTAAGCATTCGGCACGTTCCGTTCCCCCTATTTCTAGCCTATTGCTCCTAAGTTCCATAACCACGTCACAGAGCCTGAATGGCCTAGGATTTTCCAAGATAAGATAAGCGAAACCTCGGCTTGGAATAGCTTCACCGTATATTTTTTTAATTTGTTTTGTGCTGCGTCAATTGCTATTTGTACAACAAATCACAACATCAATTCGTTTTCACGCATTGTGCTTTATTGTCTCTGAGACTACGGGGAAAGGGAAATGTCCTCCTCATCCACTCCTTCCATTACAACATCTCTCCACAGCACTCTCCTCCACATCTCACAAAACCCATATCCATATATTCCCAATCCACCGAATTGCCCTCGGCGCGCTTCGGTAGCTCTAATATTACGTATTCGTCCTTCACGCAGTGATCTTCCTCCTACCACTCCCCAAGTCTTCCCATACCCAGAACCTCCCACTGGTGAGCGACTCGCGAATTTCTTCGAACAATCCTGGGTGAAGAATGGTGACCCGGAATTATTATTCATAAAACGCGCAGCGAGAGTAGGGGATCGATGGACGAGCCACGTTGCGCTTCCGGGAGGAAAGAGAGACCCCGGTGATGCGAACGACAAAGATGTTGCCGTGAGGGAGACAAGTGAGGAAATTGGGTTGGATTTAAGAGGAGAAAGATGTATCTATGTTGGAAATCTGCCTGAGAGGGTGGTATCTACAAGTTGGGGATCAGTGCCGTGAGTTCACTTTTACAAATTCTCTTAACTCCCAATAACAAGGAAGAAAATTTAGAAGGCAATCGCTGATGCTAGCTTCAAAATAGGATAATGGTATTATGTCCATTCCTCTTCATCTGGATATCTCCCACGTTCCCACCGCTTCAACTACAGCCTGCCGAAATAGCATCAACGCATTTCGTTCCCCTACGAGTTCTTCTGTCGCCTTCAGTCCGCACATACGAATACGTTAATGTATCCGATCGATTCGCCAAGCAAGGAGGAGTGGTAATGAAAACTTTATTGAAACCAGTGATAGGAAAGATGAGGTTTTCAGCCATTCGATTACGACCAACCGAATCATTATACTGCAGCACAACGAAAGAATACTTCTCTGAGGAAGCGCAACCTAGGAAAAGCGTATTTGGAAGAGCTTATAGTTGGTTGAAAGGGGGAGAGAAAGCACAGAGTGATAGACCGTTGTTACTTTGGGGCTTAACACTAGGCATGGTAGCTGATTTTCTTGATCAGCTACCACCACATGATTCGGTCGAGTTGTGGGAATATCCTACTTTTACTTCCCCAGATATACGGATCATAATAAACATACTTACACGAAATATCAAGAAACGAAATGCAGAACGGTTACGAGGCAGTGCGCATGATGGAACCGGAAATCAAACAGCTATGGATGGAGAAACGACAGCCGTTACAATGCAAGAGAGTGGAGGGCCTATAATAGGGAAGAACAAAACGAAAGAACATGCGGAAGGCGTTATGTTGGAAGGATATTATGATGCTATGAAGAAAGGCGTTTGGATAGCTGCTGGCTTCAGATTCATGTCAACGCTGGCGTTGATTTTGTGGATAGTTAGGTGGTATAGATTCAGGAGTAACAGGGGTAAATAATGATGAATGGACTTATGATGATGAAGAGCCATATCCAAAAGTTTATTACGCATGGTTTTTGGAGGAGGAGATATGCTCTTCGGCAAGTGTCTATATTTGGTCGGTTTCACGTGGCGTCTATATACTTTCGTGGGTAATTTTATTTTGGGATTGATGAAGAGCGGGCGTATATGCAACCGACCTTAAAAGTTGGTCCCATTACGTCAGTAGATAGGATTGAAAATAAGGGGTTTTGGGATGTATTTTCCAGTACATAATGGTTTGGACCTTTTTCATGTTTGCTTGAATACCTTATTTGTTATGTATTGTCGAAGTAAAACGAAGAGAGCAGTTTTGTGGTTTGGAGTTATATAATAGTTAGTTGATTGATTTTAGCTATGGATTGGATTGCGTAGTTCTGGATATATCTCTATTTTATTCTCATTATTATCGTTGCTGTATTTAGAAGCATAGTACTGGATATAGAAGTTCAGCATAGTATATCTCGTGGAGGTCACTACTGTCCAAGTGGAATAAGGTGAGAGTAAAGGTTTAAAAGACGGAGTGTGCAGTCAAGGTGTTATAGCTGTCTTTTGCGGAAACGGATTGAGCTGTAGGCGGAGACAGTAGTATGTCTTATTGTGGCCACCACCTCCTTCGGTCGTATCAGCCTGGCTTCCATCACCTTGAATTACACTAGTTTCGACCTCACTGGTGATCCATCCATGATTTCCAACTAGCCATAGCAATCTCTGTCTTTATTGTTCCTCCCATACGCCAACTGGATGCAATCCACCACAACTTAAAATATCACATCTCTACACCAACAACACTTTACCTCAACTGTTGACCACAAGACATAGTATTCGATAAATGCCATTCAGAGCATTGTATCATGGGTTGGTTTGATACCATTTCAGCAGTATGGCTGGTAAGAATGAACTTCCAGGAGGAGGTTAAGCTTCTAGCATGTTGAGTGTAGCACTTGCTACTGGATAGCCTTCACCCAGTCGCAGTGTGATTGGTTGTGTCTGCCCTAAAAATCAATCTTCTTTGAAATATGAACCTGCTCCCTCTTCAAATTCAGACCAATCAGGTCAAGGACGATTGCATGTGAGTCCCAATCACAAACTACCGTACGACCATTTGGTAAAATTCGAGTGACCCTGAGTATTTCTTAGTTGCAATCACAACGTTGACGGGGATGATTCACTGAACTAAATTAATCACAATCCCAGTTTCAAGCACAGGATGGGCCACAAAAAACCCCCCTACCATTTCAGTCAACTCTAGCAACACCAGCTCTGTTGCAATCTCCAGGAAGTCGCTCTGCAAGTCTGTCCATTTTAATTGCAATAATAATTTCAACCATAGGCTATACAGCCTTTCCCAATCAATCAACCAATAGCAGTATGAGTTCCCGCAGACAAGGCAGGTTGGACCCCCGTGAAGCGGAAGCTAAAGCGGAACTTCAAAATCCTCGTGGACAACCAGCTGAGTATGTTGACCAACGTCAGAATCCAGAATGGCGCAAAGCAAAAATGGACAAAGCTATGGAAAATGCTAGGAAAAGATCTGCTCGAAGCAGTGGTTTCCACTCACTTGTGCAGCGTGGATCGCCTCTGCCTTCTATTTCAGCACTTCAATCCACGCATGCACAACCTAACTCTCGTGGATCATCTACCATGAAATCATCACAACAGGTAAATCAAGCTCTATATTATCAGTCATCCAGCTCATCACAATCACTAACGTATCGTTATTGACAATAGCAAAACCCTGCCCGACTCCAACCGTGTAAAGATCCACATGATCAAGAAATGGCTGTCTCAATTAGACATAGATAAAATGAGCGTCAATTCGCAAGAACATTTCGTTCAAGATGAGTGGGCAAAGGCGCAACTTCGAAAAATCGGTAATACTTGTCCTAGAGGATGTCGGTGGATTAGAATCGATGGTGGTTATAGATGTGGTCAAGGTTTTCATTGGGCGACTGATTTGATGCTTAGTGATATGGGTTATTAATATAATATATTTAAGGTAATTCAAAATTATAAAATCGATGAAAAAAATAAAGATTATGAAGATTCTAAAAGTTATAAAATATATATAAAAAGATTTTAGCAGCCGGCAGTATAAAACACGTATTTTACACTGCTGCATACATAGACTCGCCATATCGCTTGGTCTATATCTGCTGAAAAATAAGTAGTATTAGGACTTATTCAGTGTAGTGAACGTACGGTTGTTAATCATAACCCTTTTACCAAAAAGCATGACTGAATGTATCTCCAACAACATGAATAACTAACTATCTAATTTTATATGAATAACCCCCATTTTCAAACATGAATAATCCACATCCAAACCAAATATTTACTTAAGACCTCACTTCTCCCTCCAGTATAACTATTCTTTCCACCAACACACAACCAACCCCAAAAAGTCAAGAACTCACCAAAACCCACAAAATTAACTCAGTACAAACCAAAATGTCTGCTCCGAATTCAACCCCGTCAATAGACCAGTCCAACAGCTTCCGGAGCAAATCTACTTCGTTAAAACATCCTGAGACTTCTATAGAGCTTCGCGAGCGAAACTGCAATAGTGATATTTTGCAACTCTCATGAATATCAGACGGACTCCCAGAGTCTAAATTAATGCTTGATATCGATCTTGCTGCTGCGCATCGAGAGGATATGGTAGTGGCGGATAGTAATACTCATTTTCTTGTTCCTGTTGTTGTGGCGTTGAAGAAGGAGGATATGGATGGAGATGGAGATGAGTATGGACGTGTGGAGTCTCGGGAATCTCTGAATGAAGTGGTTGTGTAAGTTTTTGAGATTGTTTTTGCTTGAATGTAAGGGTCAACTGACTAAATGTTCATAGTAAAAATACAAAGATGAGGAATATCGAGCATGAATCTGAGGAAAATGAAAAGATGGGTACTCATATACCACTTGATGAGTTTGAATCGTGAGTTGTCCTCCCTGTACATATATATATGATAATAGGATATATATTGACGTTGACTATGTGCAGGGCGAAGAAAAAGCGCAAGGAAAGAAGAGTTCATTTTGCAGGGGTATGATTATTCTGCAGATTGTAAGATTAGAAGTGAGCTGTAATATGTTTATAATTATTACCTAGGTATGTCGAGATAATGGGTAGGTTATAGCTGGATAAGGAATTTAATAGAGAATGCATCTGTAATGAAATTGTCACATTCATCAATAGGGTGATGAATTGCGGAGCGTAGTCTAGTAGAATACCTACATATATTGAGGGGGAAGAAAGAACAGAATATAAATGAGAGGTAGGCATTCCAGTTGAGGTTAGGTCTTGAAGAGTAGAGAGTAGAATTTACCATACTATCCACAGTAGAAATTACCTGTCCATACGACAGCTAGAGATGTAGATAATGATCTAGGGGGGTTAATTGATGGCTTGGTTCATTGGAATAGCATCATTTCATTATAAATAGAAGTGAATAACAAGTATCTCACCTGCGACACAATCGCAACATCAGCCATCAGCTTGACGATTCACTCATCCAACTCCTCCAAAATCTTATTATGTCACGATTTTCAAGAATCTTGCTCCCCCAATACTCTCCTACGAACAACAAACAACCACCCCGTACGGATATCCTCAAAAATTGGCTGCTGTGGACCATCCAAACAGTCCACGCCCCGAGCAGAAGCACCTTAATACCAACTAAAGAAAAGCGTTTCCAGGGATACGTCGCTTCGTATAGATTGAATCGACCATCGTCCTTGTTTCGATATCATTTGCATATGCTTCTGTGTGGTTATGGCTATTGATCGGGTTCCGGGATGTTTTGGGAGTAGATGATAAAAATTGCCAGGCTGCTATGATGTAATATCCCAAACTACAAGCGGAGTAAATATAGTTGTTTGTAGCGAATATGTTTGTCTAAGAAAAACTGAATGAAGCATTTACAATACATGATGCATGAGAATTAACATAAAACGGTAAACTCACCTCCAGAACCCATCATTTTTGAACGAAAGGGAATGTTTGATCTATCTTAAATATGGCCAAAAGAATTGCTGAAGCACAGAATAAAATGCTAGCATCAATTTCCCCTGAACAGTCACATCAAAAAGAAGAAAACTGAAGTAAATGACTGATGCCCGGCTTTACCATAAAGTCTCCTCATGAAAACTATCCCATGAACATCCTCTACCTAACTCCCATCCACCGCCAAAGGAAATTGAACAGAACCACTAAACTCATCCCATTTCATAACAAACATCCCTCTCGAATCAGGACTGCTAAGGATTTTACAATCATTTTTATGTCCCTTCTTATTCTAAGCAGCTTTCTGATAACTCTATTTACTGTATACATAGTAGTTAGTATTCACATGTAAAATACATGACTGCAAATAGCTCTTGTGTAGACGAACCTGATTGCAATACCAGAACAGAGAGCACCGGCCGCATTTTGCCATTGATGTTGATTTCTTTCCACAGGCGTGGCATATTCTGGTATTTTCAATTTCTCTTTTAGTAGAGAATTCCTGGACTACATCCTTTAATGCAATTAGGTCGTGCAATGATATTGGGAGAATCTATATCAAATTAGCAAGAAATTAACAAGTAGTGAGGATTTACGAAGACCGCTTGGTCATCATACCTGAAGTAGTGCGGCGTTTTGTAGGCTGATCTCTGGCTCAGAATCATCACCGCAACGTTGTGCGTAAAGAACTGCGACTGTGTGCCCTTTTCGGAGCTGAGGAAGTGGGGGGCTTTTGTCTCGTGCATCGTTATCCAGTGTAAGTTCGACGTTCGTACCATCAATATCCTCGATTAGAATTTCGCGAGGACGTCTCGGCTGAAACTCCACAATCTCGCCCAAGAAGCACCAGTGGCGTCGTGGCTGGCACGTAGACGTACCAACCTCCTCATAGAAATCTGGATTCGCCTCTCTCTCATGTGGGAGGTCGTTAAATGCGGGAAACATGGAATAGCCCAAAAAGCTGTTTGGGCGATCTGAAAACAACCGTGAATCCTGTAGTCCCTCTCTTCTCCAAACCCAATCTTCAAATTCATCAGATTTCAGTCCCGATGGAACGTCATTGACTGCGGTCGCCCAATCTTGAGAAGATAATCCATAAAAATCGCTCATGGAGGGATAATTTGCTCGACGCTTGTTATCAAGTACTTCCGGACTGTCGCTGCCATATATTACTATCATGTACTGCATTGCCTTTTGGGCCAGCACGCGAGCTCGTGCCAAGTCACCCTGACCGAGATTAAGCTTGGAAGCTTCGGAAAGAGCATTGCACAGTAAGCTGAGATGAAATTCATTTCCACTTAGAAGTTGAACTACTTGATCCAGATAACGGATAGCCTGCAATGGATATCTTATGAAGACGCGGGGAACAAGAGTAATTCCTCGATAGATATCGATCAATTCTCTGTCACTCCGCTTGGACTGTTCCGGTGGTAAACAACAAAGATCGCATGAACACAAAAACTCAAACTTTTCCTTGAGGATTCCGAGTCGAATTCCATGAGTCCATGGGCGAGATCCCAGATAGTTTATTGTGATCTTTTCGCCTTTCTGAATGTTCCTCAAAGCGTGGACAGTCATTCGCTTGACTTTCGTGTTCCAATTGTGACAGGCGTTATTATCGCAGGTGTGATTGATTCGAGATGTTTCAATGAATAGTCCGCCTCTGTCATCGCTTTCCATGGGAAGACCATTTGTTTTGAAGATGCCCAAGTATTGCTCGTCCGCATCCTTGAAAGGATGAATGTTGGAAAGAGACAGGAAGGCTTGCCGTTGTGCTTCATTGAGGGCATTAAATTTATTTCGTAGGGAGAATCCTTCATGTGCTCGTTTAGGCCTTGTCATGATTGGTCTTTCTTCAAGCATTCGAGTACCCTTGGGAATTTCTTGAGTCACAACAAGTCCTCTCCCCTTTCCCGGCACATCATGCAATGCATATTTTGGATTAACCATGATTCTGTGAGCTTTTCTTCTCTAGTTCTTTGTGCTCTTTGGATCAGGAAAATTGATGGCAGGATTAGATACAGTTAAGGGTCTGGAAAAGGGGGTATACAGATAAAATAGTTCCACTCACCACCCTACATCGCAAAGATTGTTTCTATGGGCAGAACCTCCTGATTGATGGCGTAACATTATTAAGCCATTGATTTGCATATGCGCCAGCGTGCGTGCATATGTATATGGCAAGCTGCAGAGCATGATGTCGCCCCTATCAAAAGACATCGAGCAAAAAAGAAATATTATGGCTACCAACTTCTTTCATAGTAGGGAGCGGGGACCCGCGTCTATACAAACGGCGTGCTGAATCCTGCCAGAGACCTTTCAAACGCGCCAACATTGGCTTGCGCCCATCTAGACAGACTGCTGGCTCATTCTTGATTTGTGACCACTTGCCCATCCCGCTGTTATTCTTGGGATATCCTATAATATATTGACCGCCGCTTACAACGGGAGAAGACAGTAAAAAGGTAGCCAGCTTTTGTTTTTCTTTTAGTTTGCGCTTGGCATTTTAAGTAGGGTAGCTGCATAACACAGCGTAAATGAAAACCTCATATCTCGTTTCATTCAGCATCAAACAAACAGATATTTCTCTAAATCGAACTTTCGACCTAGCAACCACATTTATATTGCTGATTCACAACCACATACATAATCGTCTAGGTAGAGCTTTGAACTTGCATGTGTGAGAGCCGTGTCAATAATATATGGACGTTATCATATGAATGCAAAATAATGTGAAGAAAGATCTGGCAACTTTTGCAAATGAGATCTTTGATTCCATTTCAACAAATATGACAAACGGAAACCTCCACTTACTAACCTAGTAACCCCACAGGATTCATAGATCGGGAGTAAACTCGGGATGTTTTGTGATATCATGACGAAACTAGAATTACAAACCATTAACTAATTAGAATTTAGATGACGGAATTACCGATTTCAAGTGCAATGGAAAAGTGATGTCAAACACTTAACCTTACACAACCCTTTTCTGCATGTTTAGATACCCGACATCTAGCTGTAATAGCACAAACCTTATCCCCGCAAAGACCTTTGCCACTACTAAAAGCCGATTGTTACATGCAATACTCCAATGCCTAAAATACCAATTCTCAAGTCTAGTTCTACATGTTGAACGGCATTCGGAGTTGTCCCGGAAATGTTGATGACGATTTATCCGAAGCCAAGCTTCCGACAGCTCCCCCGCAATTGACAAATCCCACTTCATGGCAAAGGAAAGCTTGAGATGTGAATTATTAACACCATTCCGACCTCGAATTAATTAATCGATTCAATTTTCCAATCGAATAAGAAAAGTAAAGTATTTTTCATCACAATCCGCAAATATGTCTGATAAATCCAATATCGCTACGCTCGATGTAAGTTATCTTCCCTTGAAAAATACCCCGCTTCTAGACGACAATAATCATAATATCGCCCAAGTCCCCAAACGTTCTTCACAACTAACACATATAAAACAGAGCACCCTCATCGACCGTCTCCCATCCTCATCTAAAACCCTCTTCGAAGCCAAAGCCACCAAATCCCTAACCTTCGAATCCATCGCCCAAGAACTCGGCCGCTCGGAAGTAGCAGTCGCAGCACTCTTCTACGGACAAGCCCAAGCCTCCGCCGCGGATATTGAAAAACTCTCACAAATCCTCGAGGTTCCTCAATCCAAACTCGAAGCTGAATTGGGAGGATTTCCGGATCGTGGTCGTGCGGGTCCTATGCCCCCTGTTGAGCCGCTTATCTATCGTTTGTATGAGATTGTCCAGAATTATGGTTATGCTTATAAGGCGGTTTTGAATGAGAAGTTTGGTGATGGTATTATGAGTGCTATTTCTTTCAGTACGAAGGTGGAGAAGGAGGTTGATGAGCAGGGGAATAATTGGGCGGTTATTACTTTGAGGGGAAAGTGGTTGCCATTTTCTAGGTTTTAGGCTGGTGTTTGGGAGGTAAGAGTGATGGATAGATGATGTTTGAAGAATTATAGGTCAAAGGGGTAAAAAATATCGGTGTGATGATTTATGATCAGTTACGATCGGCATCGAGAAATTAATGTATCAATGAATGTTTTGCGTATCGAACCATTCAATGGCCGTGGATCTCAACCTCATCATTAGTGTGATTAAAATGCTTCAGTATTATAGCTTCACTGACTTCTCTCTGTTGCTGCTTCATCAGTTTTCGACATGGCAGTCCCCAGGAAAGTTCCTCCCATAGTGTAATCATGCGGTCTGGCTATCAACACATCTACTCCCGGATAGTTCTGCTATTACTACATTATTGAACTACATATCTAGTTCAGACGATGATTGGAAATATCTTGAATGCCTCCAAGCTTTTAAGAAAACATACTACTATCTCATCTGCTTTTTGCAAAATGGTGATATACAACTTCATGAAACCCGCACGAGCAAAATTTTCTCAGGGTGAAGTAGTAGAATTTCACAAAGAATTCATACAGGATTAGAGAAAGAAACTGCAGTAGAGATTAAGACGAACAAGTATTATTGGCTGTGATTCCAAGTGCGGTATTGTACGTAGCATTTATACATATCTACTTTTCACTAATAGCCAGATTCATAATGCCTCCGTTTACAAGTCATACTCAAAGTCATATCACGGTTATTATATTACAAACATTCACCTTACACATCACACTCACATCACACTCACATCACATCACAATAAAGTGCAAAAAAAAGTCATAATATAGAGAAAGCAAAATAAGAGTTTGATTCCCTCAAGTATATAAAAAGGCGCATCACCATCCTAACAGACAGCAACGCCCAAATCAGCAAAAACTCGAGCCAACAGAAATATCCAAAATTTCCTCTTCCAAGTAAACGGTAAAAGTAACCCAAAAAGAAGCCATCAAGCTTGTGCGGAAATTCCTCGCCCACATATCCATCGCAATCACGTACTGCAAAATCGTTGTGATGATCACTCATACCGAGTACTGCGATAATCGTATTGCGATAATGTATGTATAGTAGAAAGTAATAATGGTAAGGTAGTGAATATGTACCTGACGAAGTAAAAAGTTGGGGCCAGTATAAAGTAATTGGCCGTAATGAATGTGGTGCGTATGAACAAACAGTGTATAGTCTGTTCACACTGCGGTGTAAAAAATCTTTTCTATTTTTCTTTGGTTCTATTTTTGGGGAAAACCCTTCTATGTTGAGTGTTCGTGTGCGTGGCGGTTTTTGGGGAGCTGCTGGTGAATGTAGTTGTAGATTGTGCTGATAGATGTATATGTAATAATTATCGAGGATATCTCCCATCTCTTTTTTTTTTCTTTCGAGTAAAACTTGTAGATTATTCGCAAGAGTAGCTAGCGTCCATCACGATCGAAAAGAAAAACGGAAGACGTATATCCCCCTCTGATCTATCTCTCCCTCAACAATGTCTCAAAGCGAGACATTTATGCCTTCTGAACGGAGCAACCACGGCCAGGACCACGTTGGATGTTACAGCCGCGACCTGGTCCTGCGGTCTTCTGAACGTTGCATCCACGTCCTGGTCCCTTTTGAACACTGCATCCGCGTCCTGGTCCTTGCATTTTGATTGATTTATTGGGTTTGGGGGTGGGTTTTGGTTTTTTTGGGGGGGTTGAAATATTGTGGTTTAGTGAATGTAAATTTGGTGAGGAGAAAAAATGGAAGGGGAGGAGGGATGGGAGAGGGGTTTTTATAGGGGGTTTTGGAGGGGATGGGGAGTTGTCCAGCTGGGACAAAGAAGGTTGGGTCTTGCGGATCAGGATGGTAGATGGAGTGTGGTAGGTTAATCTCTATGTCAATGGAAAGGAGAGTGAATGGAATCTTCATGTTAGGTTCTCGAAGACTTTTCGAAGAGAAATGTCATCTGAATTTGCACTTTCAAATTACTCAACAAGGAAATTCGGAGGATCCGTTCTGGAGCGGAGATTGCTTCTCTCCTCGCTTGAAAGGGATTCACACATTAAAATGAAGCTATTCATCCTTAACATTGTGCACAGAATCCTTAATATTGTTCTCTAGCGCCAAGAAGCCAACAAGGGAAAAACCTCCCATTAACCAATCTCCGCTTCAGGAGACATTTGTCACATTTCCTCCCTTCAGAAATCCATATATCTCCATTATCGCACATGGGAAAACTGATAAGAAAATTTCTTGCTCTTGTTCTCCTCGTCAAAAGAACTTTTGAAGTCCATTTACGAAAATTCGTGAAGCTATTCAATCTTCCAAGTTTTCGCCAAAAGTATCAAAGGAACATGAATGAGGGCGAAAGGATTTTTTAAGCGAAAACCCCTTAGTATTGTCTTCTTAATATTGTTCTTCCTTTTAGTGAGAACAATCAGTGTCACTGTTCGAGAAGAAGAAGAAGAAGAAATGTGTTAGAAGAATCAATTGAAGGATTTGAGGAAATTCCTTGAGGGTTCGAGTTAATATTCATATCGTGGCGCCAGAGATGATGAATAAAGTCTACAGAGCGGTAATCTCCATATTGGAAACTTGAAGAAATAGTCCAGTGATTCTAGGTGCTGTAACCTCACTTCTTTAATCCTTTGTCTGATTACATATGAGTGAGAGGATAATGTCAGTTATATCTTGCAGCCGAAAAGCTCAAAGTAAAACTAAGTAAAACAGATTTCTGAGCCGCAAAGTATTCTAGCTCTTCTTCTAGTCTTCTCAAGAAGAAAGCGGGGCGTCCGATATTCCTTAGCTTAGCTTACATCTTGATACACTTCACCCATCCTAGAAAGGAAGCGGGGAACGGATCCAGAACCATCACCTCGTGCTAGGTATGTATCAGAAGTATTCTCTTAGTGAGAATGAGAACAAGAATTATCGCCGACATTCCGATTCTTACATGGTAAGATTGCAAAAAGTTTTTGTCTCGTCCATGGACGTATCAAGGAAACTAAGTATTCCAAGGATTTTCCCGGTGCTAAGCTAACTTCACTCGTATCGCCCTTGACAAGAAATTAAGAGGGTAAGGTAAAGAGGAATATCTAGCGGGAACTTAGAAGATTTGTCAATCGATATCCTCTGGTGAAGGAAGCTATTCCATGTGGTTTGAACAGTGACTGTAGTATCTGCACAATGAAGAGGTTTTTGAAAGAGAAAGTGTATGGAGGTCCTTCAGATTGATGGAAATTCGCTGGAGTGATCAGATATCGGATATCGAAAATTTAGGTACTACCTTGAAGCGAAGAATATATAGGCTATCCGCAGTTAGAACCGAAAGGCTTCATCATATTTTCATAGCAGCGATTGGTGATGTTGACTATTCAAGAACACCCCTCACAGGAGAAGAGCGCTGCTAGAATAGACAAGATTCCTTGCTTGACACGTGCTAGTGTGAAATACCGGGTATCCATAGCCACGTATGAGAAATTGAAGTCTGGTGATTATATTGATAGCTATCCTTCGATACCACTAAGTAACTTTAGATCTAACATAAGATATATTCATAGATCTATATACCATTCTACCTTCACCTTTGTATTCGTATCATTATAGAATATGAGAATAACCATCTTAATTACAGATGGAAATCCTGATGAAATAATCCACTGCACGCCTGGGGCCTTGCCTTACGACCTTTCCATTTTCTAATGCATTTCCCTCCCTGCCATGTTCTTAACCCAAAACTCCATCCTTGCATGTACAAGTTATTGAATCCCGTATATTTCCCTCCAAGTCCATGCCGTCCTGGTACTTTATCCAGTATTTGTTATTTTTCCAATCCATTCCCATCAAATTCAGATTTCAATCATAAATGCCCCTTGAAATGTTATTCATCTCCCAAAAGTCCCCAACTTTCTACTGTCTTTCCTTCCATAACTAGATCATTAACGCCTTCAATCCTTCCGCCTACCCCTTCTAAATCTAACACCTCTACCCTCTTCATCCAGGTTTCGGGCCATATCAGATAAACTCCATGAACATCCCTCATGTGGCTTTGCCACTCTTCATCAAATAGCGTTTCGCGATTGTAACACGGAACTTGCTCGCTACTAGCTTGAGACATGGATTTGCAGTAATCGAGAATGGCGAAGCCCTCGGAAGGGGTTATGACTGTCCATTCAAATTTTGTGCGTAAGGCATGAGAGCGCAAGGAGGAGAAAGGATCTGTAAGGGCGTGAGTTGAGCCTTGGGTTAAGGAACGGTAGTTTGAGAGGGCGGATGTGCTGCTTGGGCTGGGAGCGGCGGAGTAGGATGGGGAGCGATGCGAGGCGTATGTGTCGTAGCTGGAAGATGATGTTGCTAGAGGTCTTTGAGCTATACTTGTGTATGTAGATGGTGATGGTGTGAGAGACGCGGAAGAGTACGTTGAATAAGTAGGTGTATGTGATGAATATGTGAGCTGAGGATGTTCATCCTCCAGAGGCGTTATATGGCCATGTGATGAACATCCTGATGTATCATATGAATATTTGTGAGTTGGAACTTCTCTATGCGATTTGTTAGCAACTGTAGCAGCATTTCCATGTTGACGAATTTTTGCAGTAAAAAATCCGCCAAGATAGTAATCTTACAATCTTCCTCTCCCGCTAGCAGCCTCCGCTATTGTCAAATTAAGTCCTTCATTTTTGATATGAATCGCAACATGTTTCCTCAACTTCGCAGCTGTATCTGTCTCCTTCATACAGAATCCACACACACTTTCACATTTCGCTATCCTCAACACACCTGAAGTATTCCAAGGTGGATGCGTATGACCTCTACTACAGGTGGTTGGCGGGAGGGAGCTCTCCCTGTCCATTCTTCTCGGTAATGAACTCTCTCGCTCTGTTCTTCTCGACTGATGACTAACTGAACGTTTTATTTCGTGCCCTTGACTATAACTGTGGCGAAAGATTCGAGCGTGGATGGTGGTCACCATTAGGGCGTTCTGGTTGGAAGGCGTGATATAAGATAACTTCGAATAGTAAGATTAACACGAGCTTCTATTTCCCAAAGCAGCGGTACGCCGTTTCATGTGATGCGATGATCTGACGATGAAGAAAAAGCAAAAAGGATATCCGGAAAATGAATAGTAATAAATGACAAAAACTTCCGATCCAAATATTATGTTTCGTTCCGAATTATTGCAAGCGATGAAGTTGATGATTAATTTTCTTAATGTGATAGAACTCCCAACACTCGTTTCATATAAAGAGATGCCAATATAGATATTAATGAAGCGGCAACAGGAAAAGCACTCATTCTTATAAAAAAAAAGCAAACCTTCCAAGGAAATAGTAATAATAATAATAGAAGAATGGAATAGGTTTAACAAGATCGATCTTCAAGAAAGTATGATCAGTGGGGATGTGTACATTTTTATTACTACTTAATTTTTTCCCATTGAAAATATTTTAATCAAGACTTTAAAATGTTATTCATGGGGACGGTACGTACAAGTACGGAGTATGGTAATGTCAAGGTGTGGTTTGGTTTGTGCACGTTGCGGCGATATGTGTTAGGTAGTCTCAAAAAAGATGATAACCCTTTTGGGAAATAATCGCGAAGTTTGAATTGGGGTGCGAACCGGTTTCAAAAGTTGCGATTGGTTGAAATGGGGCCCAAAAAGTAAGACTAATTGGCATTCTTGGAGCAAATGTGGAAGCTTGGATGGAAGGGTGATTAGACCGAGCCGTACACGTGGGAAAGAATGGTTCAAACCCACTTGCGAGTGGCCCTGTGAGTGGGATCGAGGGCGGCATGATGGGCAAAGACAAAGACAAGGCAGAGTGAGATGCGAATCGAGGATGCAAAAGAGTGGAGTGAGTGTTTTGCTGAGTCGGGACCTACTCCCGTATAGCTAATACCATACTCCGTACGTACTTGATTACTTTTTGCTGGTGGACCCCATCCATCCAGTCGTCCGTCCATATAACCTTATTAGTTGAAGACTTTGCGAGAGAAAAAGAAAATTCATATGAGTAATAGATTACCTATCAATGGTGAGTTGTATTAATAAAAGCCTACCGATATTAATAGAGGGCGGAAAAGATACACAGAGAGGATCTAGTTACATTGTGTAGTTATGGTTCATCAGATGAAAATGAAAAATTGAACATCGTAATATTCCAAGGTTATCATCAAGCATCAAATTATTAGCATTACTAGATAATCTTCAAACCATGTCGAGTGTACAAGCCAAAAACGAATGTGCAGAATATGTACTCTGTAGTTTAATTGGCTCGATAAAGGCTACGCTCCTCCATGAGCCTCCGGAAAATCCATTTTCCCACCCGCTGCAACGTGATGGCAAGCGTATACCCCCTACTTCACGGTACAAGCCTACCTACGTGGTACCAGGTACTCACTCTACCTATTCTATTATATGACATCTGTCCATTACCGGTAGTACTCCCGCTCCCTTTTTTACGATATCTGTACGTTAGCGCTCCATAAAATTAGTGATCCGCTGGGCTTGATAACGGTCTAGCGAAAATCAACGGAATCTAACCAGGGATCAGATTCTTCTTTCCGGGGTCTAGAGAAAGAATGCGAGATTAACAATGATTTTTAGTGAATTGGACAATGAATGAATGGAACGAGGGAGACCAGGCGAACCTTGGTAATATCAACGAATTAGCAAAGCGGGAAAAATGAGGATGATATGCTCGAGGACAAATGGGTCGATTTTCGTGCACGATAAGGTTTACAGGCATACATCGCTACTAGTAAGGGTACTTGGAGCTATCTCCTCGTAAGTGCAGCCAGCCAGCCAGCCCTTTAACATGGTGACCATGTGAGATGATGGATGATCGCCGGCAGGAAGATGAGATGAGAACGGACGGGCGGGCAGATTCAAGGTTCACTCAAAGGAGAGAAAGTCACGAAACTAATGTTGATGCCATTTCAATAGTTTCTTGGGATCAATCGAGTTAAAGCGAATTCGAATCGAGATTCATGGCTCATTCGCCAAAGACTAACGACGACTATTTACCAAGTAACCTTAGGGTAATACAAAGCATCAACACTTGAAACATCGAGGAGAACACCGAACATACACAAAAGATTAAAACCAATCTATTCGCTGATTCGACCCTTTCCGAGGTCAAACCCGGGGTTTCCAGAACTAGAAGGTTAAACCCTAGGCACCGAGCTTTAGGCGTACCACCATTATCTTAACCATGGCGCTGGATCCTTTACCTGTGAAGCCAGTGTGAATCTCCTCAAGGATATACCTAGAAAGCCAAAAGTCACCGAGGACGAAAAAGTTCTGAAGCGTTTCTTTCGGCATTTAGATCGATATGGGATGACTTGCGAGAAACATTGAATCTTGTCCACATCAATATTGAATCTAAGTCATTATCACTTACTTGGTCAGCCTCGGGCCCGAACAAAAGATGTGAACCCATGTTTCGTGTAACCGTCGCCGACAAATCGCATCTTCAAATCAAGGGTTTTGGAAATGTTCCTAACTGATATATGCACGGCACGGGTCAATTTACCTAGGAATCTAATGCGTGTCATAGCTAGTAATCAAAACAGCTGACTCGTACCAAGTCGTACGGGGCAAGCTTTTGGCAGTGTTGTAGAACAATTGCTAAAGCTAATAATAATAATAATAATGATAAAGCTCAAGCCCTGAAGCTTATCACTCCACAGTATTCCTATCACTGTCGAAGAGCTATTTTGGAAGGTGGAACCCTATTGACTGACTCTCACCAGAAGACTTTGGATTTTCCGGAGAAGTATTTCATAATCTAATCCTTCAATCCGCACCAAGACAGATTATCTAAGATACCTATATTTGTAAGATCTTATGTTCTCCGCCTTCCGCTCAACTACCGTTCAAACCATCTTGAATATTACGACAAGCAATATGAATATGTACGGCAATTTTATCTTGACGGAGATTTCCAATACCATACCCCATAATTGGGGATTATGCTCTTGGTGGGAGTAGATGCGATTCGATGATTTTGCAGTGGCTACGGCCCTTCCCAGCAAAGAAAACCTCAACACCAATAACTACCAATTATTTCCTAAATTCTATCTCATAAAGTATCGGATCGGCGCCACGACATTCATTCTGAACTTTATAATGTGATGATCACCGTTTGATATGATGGCTCATATCGTGGCTGTTAGCGGCATAGCCAGATATAAGACTAACGCTGCCGCCATTTGCTTTTTTCGACTTTCGATGAAGCTTTTCGCAGGTATACCCGAATTGGCGTCGATCTAGAATATTTGGATCTTCATTTGATGTTGCATTTAATGAGAAGTGCTGGATTCAAATACCTCGGTGCTTGCTTTTTGACCGGTAGAAAGAGCAATCCTAAGGTTTGGGATGGGCTATACTATTAGAGCTGGCTTGGTATTCAAGGATTTTTGTACGTACAATGTAGAATATCTTCGCAATCACGTACAATGATGGGAAAGTATAAACCCGGGAACTTTTCTTACAACTTTTCTTTTTGTTTATAGGGGTGGAAAAGAGAAAACTTTCCAGCCTTTAGGCCTTCTCTAGGTTCTTCAAACGTTGCATCGTGAAGCGTAACATTGGACAAATCTTCCCAATACTTCTCAAAATATCTTCTTTCCATCTCAAACTTGATTCTTCACGATTCTTAGGTACATCACATCTAGGCATTAAATCTATCTTTGAGATACATCTCATCGAATACCATGTCGTGATTCGTCCCCTTGACATGCATTTCGGAATGCTAGCAGTCAGCCCTAATTGTCCAGACCATCAGCGTCAGCACATTCCTCAGCCCTGTGAAATATTAGCACCTATCATACTTACTCTTTCTTCACTCACAGTTTACGGCATTACCTCTCCCGTTTTTTCTAGTTCAATTTCAGATAGATTAGATTACAAAGAGGTCAAGCAAGATGATTTGATGCTTACTGTGGTTAATGGTGTCGGGAGTGGAAGTGCACCAATTAGCCAACCTATGAAGTGAAGACATCTAGTAGACATCTTTCAAGGCCCAAAAGAAAGACAATTTTGTAGGTGGATATTTCCCAGAAACCAAGTTTCTTTTTCCTTGGAACACATAATGAGTCCCAAGACAAATTGCCGTATAAGAATGATTTTGATTCGATACATTGAGCAACAGAGAGAAGGCATTCATTCCATCTACCGTATAATGCCCCAACCAGAACCCTCATTGGCTGCGACACAGATCAACGGATTTATAATTAAGTGGTGCCTGTAAGTAAGAGGATCTTCACAAGGTTCAGGCTTCGAGTTATAAGGTTAGGGGCATAATTTGACAGGAAGATACTCCGTACGGACAGATCTAGGCGTTGTCCTCATTTGCTTTGGAAATTGTACGATGTTGAGGATGGAGAGGGAGGAGTGGGGAGAATGGAGAATGGAGAATGGAGAGAATAGAGAATATGTGTGCACCGTACGTAGTATCCTGCATCTGAGTATTATACTCCATGAGCATAATCCAGTGTTGTGATTGGTTCTGACGGAATGCTTTCCGGTTTGAGAAGTTCATCGGCATAGATTGACCTACCTACCTACTTGAGTACTATGCGCCGCATCTCTTTCTTTCATTTCTTCCTTGCTATCGCTGAGCTTCATTTGATCAATTCTCAAACTCTACTGAATGAACATCTGTTACATTTCGACCATCTTCTCAATTTGTCGCACAAAGAGCGGAATTGTTATCATCGAGTCAGTCTGGAGAGAGGCTGAAATTCTCGGATGATTCCCCCCCTCATCTCACAGTCAGTCCAGTCTCCAGCTTAATCCGGTTTCTTCTCATACTCCGTACATACAACTGCAACTTACTATCTACCTACCTACTCAAACTCTATGACCAACTCAACGAAAATTGTACAACCTCGTGTCCTTGTGTTGTACATTCTGCCTATTCATTCATTCATTTAGTCAACCATGGGCGATGTCTTTACCAATCTGAACTTAATCTTTGACATGCGCTGAGAGAAACATTATTTAAACTTGTGCAATTCTTTCCATCTATCCTTATCCACCCATCTTTCAATTCAATCCAATTTTGGGGGAATACTCAGTCACACAATAAATATCCAAAGGACCCTGGACAAATTACGTGCTGTTGCATTGCGGCGCTGCTAGGGAGTCGCAAGGGCATAAGTATTCTTGGGAAAATATCTTTCCCAAAGAAATGTAGACAACCCCCCAAACAAAACAGTCATGGCAGATGCGACACAGACGCGAAATAGAGAGAGGAAGCGTCGCATAAGTCGACCCAAAGTCAAGACTGGATGTAAAAATTGCAAGTAAGTTTCTCATTTCTATATTTACTTTTATTTAAGCATTCTGGGGATCCCGTTTCCTCGTATTTAGAGTTGAATTTCCCCGCGTTATGGGTACCCACAGTGGGCGGCGGTAACAAACAAATCGATCTTTGACTAATTCACCCATCTTTCTTCCCCCAAATAGATTACGAAGAGTTAAATGCGATGAAACGAGACCTCAATGTACGAAATGTGTTAGATCGGGAAGACAATGCGATGGCTATCCGGCGTATAATCCGAGAAATAGACATGGCAGTAATACTCTTCGAATTGCTCCACGACCGAGTAATGCCGGCGCTGGCGTGGAGTCAAAATCAATATCATCCAACAACTCCATAATATCTACGACATCTCCTGGCTCGTCGGCACTTGTTTCTAAGAGGGTACCGTATATCATTGATAAATCAAAATCCATCGGTCCATTGACACCTACCACACCGTCAAGCGCCAATTCCGTCGAAGTTCGTTTTGACTTATTTCCACCACCTACTGACGGTCTGGCATTCGGTCCAAAAGAAGGTCAATATTTCGAGGTCTTCTGCACCCATACCGCCAGCGAATTATCCGGTTTCTTCGATTCCGCATTCTGGAGGAGAAGTGTCCTCCAAGAATCGCATTCTGAAGCATCCATACGCCATGCTGTTATAGCCCTCGGGGCTCTTTACAAAACATTAGAAAAGGTCGCTGAATCACCTCCGAGTTCCCCATCTTCCTCTAATCAAAATACTTCGAATGGTGATTCCGCAACTGCTCATTGGAGTTTTGCTTGGGACCACTATGGAAAAGCCGTCACGCGCATGCGGCAGAGTATTGAGAACAATGAAGTTAGATCGCAAAGAACGATTTTGATATCGAGTGTTTTATTTACATGTTTTCAATCGTTTGTAGGGGACCATAAAGCAGCTATCACACAAGTACAAGCGGGTTTGGGAGTGATGGAAAATCAGCGCAAGGAAAGGAGAAAACCTTATCTTCAGCGCGAAGATGATATTGTGGAAGAAGAGCTGGGGCAAATGTTTACACGCATGGCTATTCAGGCCAAATCATACGACATGGCGTTTCATTTTCCAGCTCCGCATATTATCCGTCTTTCCACCAATCCAAGTATCGCCAATCCGGTAGCATCGCATTCCGGACCGCCGTCTCCTTCAACGACCACTTCATTGACGAATCTTGATTGGAGATACCACGTAGCTCACGATCCAAGTCTAGCAAATCCACCCAGCCCATCAGATAGTTCGACCGGCACCACCGCATCCATCGAAGCACCCATCCCCGAAATATTTTCCAGTGTTAACGAGGCGAGATTAGTGCTCGATGCTTTGTGCGAGAGAATCATGCGATATAATGAGGAGTTGGTGGGATTTTACACAGTCTCCAACAATATCCTTCCTGCGTCCATAAAATCCAACGGTTACGGTTTCGGGCGCTCTCTCGAACAATGGCAAGAAACTTTCGCTCCGCTACTCGCCAAGCGTCGCGCGCCTGGTACATCGAATACCGAAAGAGCAGGCATGATCGTGCTTCAAATGACATGCTTAATGACTCGAATCCTTACCTTCACAGCCTTTTCCCCAAAGGAAATTGACTTTGATCACTTCATTCCTATGTTCACTGAGATCAATGACTTAGCCAAGGAACTAATCGTAGATGAGGAATTAGCATTGGCGCAAGCGAGATGTGGAAAAGCTTGTAGACATGTAAATTCGAATGCGGAGAAAGGTATAAGGACTCCATTTGGTGTTAAGGTTATGAGTCCTAGTCCTGGTCCTGATGGTCGACCCTCTTCATCGGAAGAAACTTATTCACACATTAAACCTTCCTTTGCACTTGATCTTGGCATCATCCCACCGCTTTATGTCGTTGCCACAAAATGCCGCGACAGGAAATTAAGAAGAGAAGCTATAAGTCTCCTAACGTCAAGTCATAGGAGAGAAGGTATGTGGGATTCGAGATTATGTGCTGGTGTTGGCAATTGGATTATGGATGTGGAGGAAGAGGGATTGGATAGATATGTTAGGGGGACAGTATCAGAAAATCAGAAGGTGCCGGATGAGAAGAGAGTTATGGTTATGGAGGTTGAGTTTAATCTTGAGAGGAAATGGGCAAAGTTGAGGTGTGGAACAAGGGGGGCTAAGAAAGGAGATTATGATCCGAGGCGAAGGGAGGAGCTGTATAGTTGGTAATGTGATCGAGGAAATGAGGGTTGGATTGGGAAGAAGAGGTGGAGAGGACACGGGGGAAGTCAAGGAGTTGCGATTGTATGATAGTGTACATACATGCTTTCCAAGGCGTCCGGTATGGATTTGATGGGATTGGATCAGATATTCGAATCGATGAACAAAAACAAAACTACATGATCAGGATAAAAAGTTTCTGATTAACAAAATTATCTGAATGGGTAGGTGGTACTTGGAGGATTCATTGATTATTATTGATTGATGGATAGATGAATGAATAACAGGAATGGCATGAAACGGCATGTGATAAGACAGGGGAAAGGAAGGGAGCGATTGGTTTTGCATTAGCATCTGGATGGATGGGTTGGGTGGAAGGAGCCTATGGTCAAAAATTGATGGGATAGGATGGGATGGTATCGGTAGCCTGGATTGGGTTTGGTTTGGCTGGTATATGCTGGGATGGTTGGATGGGATTGGATTAGGGCGGGTTGGGTTGGATTGGTGGGATGGGATGGTACGGGTTGGTTTGGCATGTGGTGGGATGGATGGGATTGGGATTGGGATAATACACTACACTAGGTACACTATAGTAACATAGTATAGCATGGAGGATGGAGTAGGGAGTATTGTGGGTTAATCAATGCAATGCAATTCAGTTCAATTCAATTCAGTCCGATTCCTTATATCCATAAAATCTAAATGAGCTCTCTAGTCCAATTAAAACCAAGCTGAGCTGAGCTCACTCTCACTCTCACTCACACCATCAAAACCACCAAACCCCCCACAAAAAAATTCATTCCGTATCCTCAAAATCCACATCCTGGGAACCTTCCTCCAGTACACCATCCTCAGGATTTTCCCGCAAGGAAAAATTTCCACGATCCCTAACCCTTCTTTCACGGGATTTATCCATTGGACTACCCAATCCTATACTACCACTCGACAACCTCAAATTCGACGATCTATTCTTCAATATTTCGGGATTCTCAAGCATTTCACTCTCGCCCCTGATAGGTGGATCGGGAACTGCTGGTTTTCCTATTTTCCTCGGACTTCTCGAGATAATTTTCTCTCTGATGTTGCGGTGTTCGAAATCTTTTCGTGCTTGCATGAGTAATTTGACGGAATGTTTGTGATTTCCGGGTCGCTGGGCCGCTTCTTGCAGGGCGGTTTTTCCGGCGTTGTTTTCTAGGGCGAAGAGTTCGGGGGTTGTGCTGGCATGTTTGAGGACTTGTTCTACTGTTTTTGGGGAACCGTAGCGCGCGGCGTGGTGGAGGATGGAATTTCCTTCGCGCGTGAGGAGCGAGAAATCGTGCGTTTTGTGCAGGAGGTACGTGATTAGTCGGTCTCGGCATACGGAGCTTTCGGTGGGTTTGCGGATTGCGGCGTGCAGTGGTGTTTCACCCGAGGGTTTGGAGAGGAGATGAAAATCTGCGTTTGCGTCGCCGATGATTTCGATGATTTCGCAGCCCGAGATGCTGTTGCGGTGAGTTTCGATTAGCGAGTGGAGGGTCGGGAGTTGGAATTTTAAACTGCAGGGTTTTTTGAGGCTTTGGAGGCTGACTATGTGGAGGACCGCTGTGGAATCCTTCTCCTTGATGCTTCTTGTAAGGGCTTTTTTGAATTCCGTAGCGGCTTTCCCCGGGTGGGCATATCTAGATAGTATATCTTGGAATAGTGGGAAGCATCGATAGATGATAACTAGATCCAAAGCATTACGGTTAAACTCATCTTGAATTTCAAGATCTGCTCCACCGGATATCAAGGTTTTAGCAAGAGACCACGATTTATGCCGTATTGCGAGATGCAAAGGAGCCACGTGTTGAACGTTAAGAAATGAGATGAATTCGGGACGACTTCTCATTTGTGAAACTAAGAAATTTCCAATATCTTCATGACCGAAACGGGCAGCCCAGTGAAGCAGGGTATCATTACTCGTTGGTAATACCTGAAAAACATCGACTCCATGCTCCAAGAAATGTTTAATAACTGGTTGCGCTTCCCTTACTCTCGTAGCTAGGAATATCGGTGGTACTCCTGTGTGATCGCTATTGGAATTAATATCTCCACCTCTTGCTCTCACGGCATCAATAACTTTTATCCAAGCTCCCATCTTATGTCTCACCAATGCGTACACCAACACTGATTGATTTGATTGGTTCACAGCCAAAATATCCGCACCTGCTTCAATCAAAATATCAATCATTTTGGTTTGTCCCGCTGCTGCAGCAGAATGCAAAACGGTATTCTCGCCCCAGTCACGTGAATTAACATCGAGACCTTTATCCATGAACATCTTCAAAAGCTTCTCATGACCCGCTGCAGCCAAGAGATGTAACCAATTAGCACCATTCCTTTCTCTTCCCCCAAAGCGAGTTCTGGCCCATTCCAGCGATCGATTGCGAAAATATTGCATTACATATTCGGAATCCCAAAACGGGACGCAAGACCATAGACGTCGTTGAGAAACATAACTGCGACCTCGACTGTAGACCCATATTGATCTGGCTCTTGGTTCCGGTTCATTATCTACAGCTGGACGATAGTGACGACGAAAGGCCTTGTGGTAGAGGAGAGGACTTAGGATTGTCGCATGTCGTCTAGAGGTCTGGACTAGTGCGTTAAGTGGAGCTCTTCGAAGGGTGTCCCCAATACATAGAATTAATTCTGGTGGAAGTTGATTGATATCCATGGTTGGATCTGGGATCTTGGGGTGAATTCAAGGAGGTTTCGAGGAGATATTGATGGAATGGTATTGACATAAGGTTAGCTGCATCAAGACTTGATTTGATTGAATACGGTAGATCAAGCCTTGATGAGGTGGTAGGTTATCGCTGACTTGAAAGGTCAAGTGTGTCGTGATTCGGTCGTTAAGTAAGCTATGAAGTAGGGAAGATTTCAATATATGAGAATTAATAATAAAGTTGCCATTAAACGATAGTATACCGGTATATCAGGTTGAGAGGTTGAAGTGAAGTCGGTGTAAAGGAACAAATATAATGAGGCTGGATTTCAATACTAGTGACTGCCGTACTGAAGAACTGGAGAAGGCTTGTCCCATGATTCACTATCTGTATCTTGTCTTGTATCTTGTATCTCTAGGTATTTGTATCGATATATGACGTGATAATTTTTATTCTTTTCCAGAGTATGAATGGCTTTTTTTTTACCGTTCAATATATCTCAACAATTCTCATTGATACCTTTTGTACAAGTAGATAGATAGATACCTAATAGTGAATGTGCTTTTTGTATGTTTTAGCACAGAGGATATGATGATTTTTGTAGGTGAAGAACAACTCAGAAGTTTACCGAGAATGATTAGAGTATATGTACTGGGACCCGCTATACCAGACCAAAAGTAATAAATTTGTATGATCAGCTTTGATCTCCAGTCTCAAGATTTCATAAAACATTCTTCTTATAGCTTTTATACTGGAAGCCTAAAGATTTGGTTTCTTTGGGGGGAATTTTTAATATTTATTTGTTTTTTTAATTTAGTTTTATTAATTTTATTAAATGATAATATTTGACATTATTTAATATTATTGTTTTCTTTTAATTTATATCTGTGTAGATTTTATATTTTTTATATAAACAAGGGTTGAATTATAAATAATTATAAAAGTGTTTTATAATATATTTTTTAGAATGACCGGGCTAGACTTACGTTTTGCTCCGTATTAAATCAATTGATCATGACAACAGAGCAGATATAAATTGTTGCGTCACAGAATATATTACACTGCATATGCAGCATTTAAAGAAATATGAGGCTCCTTAAATTCCATTTGACCATATATTTTTGTAAGGTTATTGTAATTGTCATGATTGTCATACGCCACACACTCTACAGGCTAGAATTGGTAGAATTGGTAGGGATGAAAATGATGGATGGCCGCATGGTACGGTGGTCCAATAAATTACAGGCATTTGATATAAGGCAGCAATAGCCGCGATGCATCGAATAAGAATTTATAGAATCTTTAGGCGAAACTTAGACAACGACAACAAGGACAACGACAAGATGAACACTAACCACATGTCCTGCTATTGTGGTCAACTTGTTTACCGAGGACCTGCATCTTTTACACGTTTCGCCACTGGTTACCGTTGATCTACGTTTCAGACATAGTTTCTCTGAATTTGGGTTACAGTTGAGGATGGAGATCGGGCATCCCGGTATCCTTACTTTGGACTACTTACTGGGATACTTTATCATGACCAACCCCATTGTCTATAAGAAACCATGCTCTTCTCATAGCTGCATAGGTAGGTAGGGTTTCAGAATACTAATCCAATTTGTAGCACGCAGCCCTACCTGTTCTCAAGCCAGCACCACCTTCGTAAGGATTGAAACGCCCGAGACATCGAACATTCCCAATCATATATCATCTAGAGCAGCGTCTTCCAATTATTTATTCTTCGCGATGGTCTTATACTAGAATAAGAGGAACGTTAGGCTTTGGCTCTGGAAGACAGGTCGTGGCAGACAGTATCGATTACATTGTTACCTATGAATAGGCATGGAAATCTCGAGAATGGGCCGGTAGAAAGGATTGGCATATACATGTGAATCCCTGAAGACGAACATCGACAATTTCTTTCCATCCGCCTGCTTATCCATCAAGAACGATTGCCATGTGGATTACCGATACCTCAATGCAAGATATTTTCGAAACTGCATACCCAAGCTGCGGATTCAAATCACCATTGGCGCCGATTTCTGTGTTACAGAAGAAAACGGATATAAGCTTGCAGAAAGGTCGCTGGTGGCATTTGTTCTTTTCGGGTTGTAGTAACCGTGTGCTTTGATTAGAAAATCGGTTGGGGCTTCATTCCACTGGCGGTGGCTCCGTGAGCCTATTCAATGTTGGCTTTGGATCCCCGAATACTTGTCGTTGCAAATCTATAAGTCCGGTCAAAATTATATCACATCAGCAACTAGGTTATTGAGTAAAGTTTCTCGATGAATCTAACTAGTTGAAATCACTTGTATCTCGACATGAAGATATGAAAGATGGCGCACCCGTGGATATCATCCTCAGAAAGGTTCATATCCACTATATCAATTGCTCTTAGCACTTTAACTCTAATCAATCAAGCTCAATAGTCTGTGTTTATTTTACTTTTAAGGTCGCTTTATACGTTCTTATGGAGCTTCTTGACGATTTCAAAAAAGTATTAGATTCATTTAAGCAAGGTCAGCGGCGGTCTCTACTCGAACATCGTAATGTCATAATCCACATGAGTTGCTTTACACTTTGTTATGCTCTCCAATTTGTGGTTGTTCTCTTGCATCAAGTCCTTGCTCAATTATTTGATATAAAACATCTGCAACACTTATTTCAACCTTCATCATGTATTTAAGTGCTCTTATCCCTATAGCTGGAGAGTCCCCAACGTTAAATGAGCGTTCCATCGGGGATTATTGATGGGGATCGGAGGCACAGATGCGAGATAATGGCTATGGCAGAAATGATCTTGAGCGATGTGTAGAGATATTCGATAGCGAAAGAAAGCAAGCAGTTTGAAGGACTAACCTTTTGTTAAATGAGGATATTTTTTTTCACCGGAGACCCTGTATTGGAGCCTGGATAATCGAGATATGGATACTGCGAGTACATAGGACAGATTTCAAGTGGTCCATTTTCAATCAAGTAATCTGACACGCTCAAGCAATATCAATGAATATCTTCATTATAGTCTGAGATATATCCACACTACATCTTGTATCACAATAGCTTTATTTCCATGTACCTATTTGCCATGACAGACATCAGGATTTGGAAAACGTTTGAATACCTTCATATTGATGAATAGGCAGTCTCGATGTCGAGACCATTTTCGTGCCGCACAAAATGTCAAGACTTTGGATATATCTTTGTCGCACTTCTCTTGAATATTTATTTGGACAATTCAATGGGATTGACCTCAGCCAGTTGCCAATTGTTGGCCAACAGATCCTCCCTTTAAAACCTTGTCGGGTTTTCTAAGCAAGTTGTACTCGGCAACTTTAATCATAGATTTCTTAATTCTTCATACCCCATAACAGCGATTGATAACCGCTACTAGCATCAATATTGCTATGAAATCCGCACACTCTCTCTTTCATTTCGTGTTTGTTCCTTGCGATGATATTTGGGGTTGTGAACGCATCTTTTTCAAAGCTACCTTCCTAAACTCTGATAATACACGCACAACGACTTGTTCCGAGTCTGTTGGTATATATTTCAAAAGTATGAAAAAGGCCTGCAATGAGGATGGTGATGCCGCGTAAGACTATGTGGGAGGATATACTTCTGAAGCTCTTGTGCCGTTCAAAAATTTTGCGCAAGTATTTCTGTATGCATTCACAAAAGATTGTGCAAAGTCGCTAGGTTCACTTGTTACTATAAATTTAAGTTTAAGTTTCTGGCTGACCTTGTATGGCTGGTACATGTTGAGACAATAGTTCTTCCTCTTCACCGGCCCTTAGAATCTCTTGCGCCAATGAATGTGCAGTTCAGGAATATCAAACTGCTCAGAATTGTCCTGGATCAACGTTTGAATTCAATCATCATTGGGTTGGTTTTATTAAATTGGTTGGAGGGTGAATTCGCCGATGGGTGGAAAAGATTATAACGGTGTGGAGAGGCGGTTGATTGAGCAATTTTGAATGCAACAATAGCGACCAAATTCACAACTGCGATATTCTCAGTTACTCAAGTGGAATTAACATCACCACTACTGCTTTGGGAGATGGCAATGCACTGGCAATGCACTGGCGATTTTTCCTCAGCAATGGCTTAAGCGGAATCATCAACAGCAACTGCAACAAGCGTAACTGTAATACCTGGGGCGTTAAAGGTTAGACCTTCTGTTGGATTAGTGTTTTCCATTTTCTTGTTGGCGATTATTCAATACACGGTCTCAAGTTTGAGACCACGAATTGGGTCAGTAGACCTAGGATTGATATTCATCTTTCAATTAGGCAACATGTTTCTAAATTCGTATGTGGCTTGTTAATTAGACCTATGTCGACCTATAGGTTCACAACATATTGCGCTTTTCGCATCTGTTGAGTTCCAACTTCGACGACCCTTTCTAAATTTTACATACGCGCCTAGATCTATGGCCTTTTAGTATGGAACTTTAGGAGGTTAGTGTACTACAGGTTCATTTACATTGGGCGAATTCTTCACGTATCTTGACATTGACCTCGAAACATGTATTAAACCCTTCTAAACCACCTACGATTAACATGTTATTGAATTCGATCGACCAGTTCCATGAAAATATACAGGTAAGTGCCCATTCAGTTTCGGTCGCGGCCTTAATCATGGCAACATGCAGCCTATCGATCGTCAAACGTGGACTTCAATACATACTATATCGACTGATCAATATTTACGGGTTACAAACATCTCAGTAGGTATAAATAGAGCTCTCTCATTTTAATGAAACGATCAATACATAAAATCCAATACATCAAACACTTTCGAGAAGTTCCAGTACAGTCTTACCATCACAAAAAGGTACGCATTACAAAAAGCACCTACAGCCATCTATAACAAAAATGTCCCGTAAAACCTATAAATATTCCCAATCCAGGGGATACCAAGAAAGTGAATCTGGTGAGTACGACGCAGATCATGAGAAAATCACCACATACAAGCAAGACAGCAAGACCAAGAAATGGGTACTTGACATAAATGGTAAATTCAACAACGCAGGAAAGCCAGTCGAAACATACAAGTACTGCAAAGCCGATAGAGAATATCGTCGAGATGTTCGTGGTATCTACGATAAAAATGGAAAGGAAATATCAAATCTCACAGCAGCAGTAAATAGCGAGCGCAGTGCTACACCTAGAACTTCAGCGGGTCCAAGTAACTCGGGCTCAAGTTCACGATCTCGTACAGAGACTAGACCTTCATCTGGAGCGAACACCTCGAGCTCAAGTTCACGACCTCGTACAGAGCCCCGAAATGTTCCGACAGCAGATAATTCAGGGGGACGACGTCTTACTACAGAGGAGATAGAGAGACAAAATTTGGAAGACGCCCGAGCTACAGAGCATTACAACAACCCCGAAGCACCACCATCTTACCATGGTCGAGAAAGCTACGTTAACATCGATCGCAACAACCCCCTCTACGCAGCACAGGGCATTCGAGGAAATCAACCGGTTCCCAGGTACACAGCAAATGCGCCCTCGGTACCTAAACCCACTAATCAGACGTATGCTCTCGGACGCGGAAATGCGCCCTCCGCGGAAACATTCGGCGGGAGACGCAATCTCAAAGTTCCGTTGGAATATTCATCCGGCGATGCGAAAAATAGACGCGGGAATAATATGACTAGTAGTGGTGAATTATCAAGGGGCTATAGTTCCAATTCTCAAAATATGTTTAATATGTCTGGTTTATCCGAGGGCTTGTCTTTTTCTTCTGAGGATGGGGCGGATAAGAAATATCGTAAGAGTGGTGCTGGGTCTGGGTCTTCTAGGAGTCAAGCGGTGGATAAGAATAAGGATAAGGAGGCCGGGAAGAAGAGTAATAAAGAGGGGAAGAAACCTGCCACTTCGTCGGCGACGACGGTCGATAAGAAATATGGTAGTAGACAAATTCCTACTTCGGGTTCAAGCTCGTTTGCTGATGAGGAGAATTCTTCTGAGGATTCTCCGCCGCAACGTAGTAGGACGGGGATATCGGGTCGTGAGAGTGGGAGTGCAAGATCAGATCGTCGTCATGCTGATAGTACGAGTGTGAGAAAGAGGGATACGAGTACACAGCGTAAGGAGCGGAAGAGAAAGGATGCGGATCATGCTGCTGCGGCTGCTAAAAGGGATCATCGGGTGCATAAACTGCAGTCTAGTAGTGATGATGAGTTGTATCGTATGCCTAGTTAGTTGGTTAGTTGGTTAGTTGGTTAGTTAGTTAGTTAATTAGTTAGTTGACATTTGGTTTGATGTACAGGATACTATGCGTTAGG